GGAGGGGACGAATGGGGGGGAAAAAGGGGATATTTGTAATAGTTTCAACAATAAAGGTACATTAAAAAAAACACATTTACCTGTTCAATTTACTTGTTAGTTAAAAAGTGAATCAATCAGTCAAGTGGTTTCAAAACTGAAACTAATTTCTTTACAGTTTGCAAACAATGTTGTATTTGTCCACCCAGGAAAAATTTGGCATTATTTGCACTCATGTGCAATAATGCACTGATACATTTGTTTATTCTTAGCCCCAGGACGTTCGTATCTTCAACTGAATTTCTGGAAATAATGCAGTGCAGCCCAGCAAACTTTGCTATCCGTCATTGGGTAAACCCAGCTGTCAGATAGTTGGGAAGCCAGAAAAGTATTCCATCACTTTTCATATCTTAAAGCTCAGAGAATTTTTATTCCAAAATTTAATTCGTGTTAACATTCCATCTATTTTACTTTAGGAAATACAAAACAAGCAGAAGGCAATTTCAAAAACCAAGTTTGTACATTGTTCTTTATTAAAACAACTGAATGGGGCTCTCTGTATGTCAAAAGAAATTTACTGTTTTTTCATTATCCATAGTTTTTTTAAACTTTCTTTAATTTTTTTCTTCTTCTTTTGGCCTAGGAAAGAGTGTTGGCCTAAAGGATAGATCATGTGGCTACTCAAAATCTGGTTTCTGGATAAGGACTTGTAATTTTAATTGTCCATTGTTCTATCTAAATGCCAATGTAACTAAAAATAACTTAAAATGGAAAGAAAGAAAAATCACTGCCCCCCCCCCTCAATAGTTGTTACATTCTAAGGTTTATTTCTTTTTATACCAATGGGAGTTGTGGTTCTTCAAATATTTTACCCTCCTGAAATTTGCTATACGTGCTCTCTCTTACATTGACTTATTTTTGTCTGTATCTGTTTCTTAAATAACTGTGGGTTTGGATCCACTGCCAGAGTGTAGTCTGCATAAGAGAATTAACCTTAACTTGTTGTACTTTCAAATTTGCCAGACCGCAAAACTGACCACCTCTGAGTCAAAAGTCAGCCCGGCATTCTCTCTTTCATCCAGGTCTGGAGGAGAAGTGGGACAGTTTCCTCAGCACTCAGCACAGCTCTAGCCAAGATGCACTGTTCAGGGTTGTGTGGAAATCTGGGAACTACTCAGCCACCACGTGTCAGCTCCTAAAATAGGCTGAGGCTCTGTGTTACATTCAAGGGTCCCACAGCCCCACCAACACACAAACTTATTAAACTAATTTAATATAATTAAAGCCAAAAGAGTCAGTGATATCCCTGGAGTAAAATTCACTGGGGACAAACTCTAACTTATCTGTCACCAAAATCAAAGAAAAAATTGCCTGCTTATTTTGTCCATTTCTCTCTTTCTCCTGGGAGCTCCATGCTCTCTTGTGGCGCCCTGGTGCCATTTTAGCTACTCCTACCTAATTTCATGCACCATTTCCCTTCCCCTAAATATTCCAGAACATTGTCCTGGAAAACTCTAAGATAAACCCCCTGAAACTGGGGTTCCCTTTGTAGTCCTTTCTCTCTCCCTCTGGGAAGGTTTCAGGCCCATCTGGTCCTACTTATGACATGCTTGTTGCTTTTTGAGAATAATTAGCATTTTCTTTCCATTGTTCCACACAATCTAGACATCCGAACAATGTGATCCCTAGAAAACTCTTTGCCAACCCTTGCTTAGCAGAAAGATTTTTGAGCATCTCTTCCCATCACTTTTGCCCCTTCTAATGTCAGGGAGAAGAGCTTCAAAAACTTTTGAATTTTTTGAAGAACTAGCTTGCATATACCAAGGCACAGGGGACTTATTGAAAGCAACATCTGTGAGGGACCCTCTTTTGACCTGAACATCTGGCCTTAGGTTATATCCTTCAAAAGAAGCATGTCCAGAGTTCACAGCGTCAACACCATTATACCTGTGCCAGGTGACCAGGACTGCCCTGCAGTCTTCTTTTCACTGACAACTACAGTGATTCTGGGTGAGAAGTTTAAAACCCCAGAAAAAGGTTGCTGGGCCAAATATTCTGTTGATGCTCAATTTTTCTATAATATCCCCTTTACTTCCTGGACTAAAAGTCTCGAAGTTACATTTCCCAGCTGGTGCCAGATAGGTTTGCCAAAGAGAGGCACTCTCCTGAGAGTAGAAGGCAGGAAGAAGGTGGAAGCCGTTATGCTTCTGGTAGGAGCATCAGTGAGGGTTTCCCGGACTCCTGAAATAGCAGGAATGTGGGCTCCTGACTTCATTCCCATCAATGACGGTGTCAGTTACAGAAATGTCAGCATCAAGGGTGGGCTTATGGACTTTGGGTAACACTATCACCCCACTTTTGCTCCTGTAGCCCTTGGCTGGAATGGCTTTCTGCTGTAAAAAAATCTCTAGTAACAGTTTTCCCTCTTTTTTTTAAAAAAAGTTTTTGTTGATGAGAGAGAGAGAGAGAGAGAGAGAGAGAGAGAGAGAGAGAGAGAGAGAGAAACATTGATCAGTTGCTTCCTGCAGGCACCCCAACTAGGGACCAAACCCAGAACCCTAGGCATGTGTCCTAACAGGGAATTGAACCTATGACCTTTTGGTCCACTGCATGACCCTCAACCACTGGCCAGGGCAGTTTTTTCCCTTTAGATCCTCCAGCTTTTCCTGTTTTTTTATTTTTTATTTTTATTTTTTGGTAACCAATTCCCTGTGTTAGATTCCCCACTGTTTTAAATACCTAGAGTGGCTTCAGTTTTTGCGATTACTAACCAATACAAAATCCTACATAAATCTTAGAAAAAGAGAAGCCCAGAATAAATGATTCCATTATCTGAGTAATTATTTGGACCTGGTGCTCTTGTCAAATTGATACAAGGTATGGTCCAGGCTCTTACTCTGGTATAGAAGGGTTTTGATCAAATGTTGGGCCAGGTCCCTTGGCTATAGCTTATTAACCACATAACTGCAAAGTGAAAATACTGATCCTACCTGGTAAGACAGCGGACAGAGTGTGTCATTATAAAGACACCCCGGGGGCCAAGATCAGAGGAGTTGTTGTATATCTGCCCCCAGAGGGTAGCATCTAATTTTAGTCTTACTCCTTAAATATCTGCCTCAGACACCGAGCAGCCAGGAAGGAGTCCTTGTGGTAAAGCACATCAGCAGACAGCTGAATAGTTCTCTGGAGGATCAGCAGATCCCAGAAGGGTAGGAGCCAGGCTCCTATGGCCAGTTGCCTTAGCACCTCAGTGCCAGAGCTGTCCCTGGATTCAGGGATCTTGGGTCTGAGAGCCTGGAGACATAGGCTTGGCTCTATGTACCCTTGAGCAAGTCAGGTGAGCTGTCAGACCTCACCTGTTGAATGGGGGATTGGACTAGAATGTTCTGTAAGGGTGGTCCTGGCAGCTGTAACAGTTTATGGGGGAGCTTTGGAAAAAATAGCGGGGCCCCAGAGATTCAGATTGAAATATCAACCAGAGTTGAAAACCATTACCTAGAGCAGTCTACCTCAACATTTTAAGGGCATAGGAATCCCCTGGGGATCTTCTTCAAATGTGGATTTTGAAGTACCAGGTTTGAGATGGATCCCCAGATTTCTAACGAGGTTCCTGCTGGTGCTGATTCTGCTGGTCCAAGGGCACTATTCTGAGTATAATTTTACCTTCTAAGGCAGGTTCTCAAACTTTAGAGCATCAGGTCCCCTGGAGGGTCTGTGAAAATGCAGATGGCTAGGCCCCACCCCAGAGTTTCTAATCCTGCAGGTCTGGAGTGGGGCTTGGGCTCTGCATTTCTAACAAGTTCTCAGGAGATGCTGATGCTGCTGTTCAGGGGACCACACTTCTAGAACAACTGCTCTCAATGTTCCCTGATTTTAGCCGCACATGAAAACTACCTGGGAAGCTTTTATAACGTCACTTGCCTCCTCCAGCTCTCCCACAACAGGGCACATAAATCAGAATCTGTAGGGTAAGACCAAGATATGACTTGCATCTAAAAGATACTCAGGTGATTCCAATAAGTAGCCAGGGTGGGGATCCATGCACTAGACCAGTGATTCTCAATGGGGGAGTAATTTTTCTCTTTCCTCTCCTGCCTCCTCTAGGGGATATTTGAAAATGCCCAGAGACATTTTTGGTTGTCACAGCTAGGGGAAGGAGAATATTACTGGCATATAGTGAGTAAAAGCCATTGATCTGCTACACATTCCATAGTGCAGCGGATAGGACACCTCGACAAGGAATTATCTGGCCCCAAATGTCCACGGTGCCATGGTTCAGAGACCTTGCACTAGAGCATGGCCTACCAGAATCCCAGGCCCACCCTAGACCTGCTGGATTAGAATCTGCATTTCTACCAAGGTTCCAACGTGGTCCTGAAGCACTGCCTTAGATCAGTGGCTCTCGAAGCACTTTTGAGTCCCCAGGAGGGTTCATTACAGCAAAAATGCTGGGCCCACCCCCAGAGTTTCTGATTTAGCAAGGCTGAGAATCTGCATTTCTAAAGAGATCCCAGGTGCTGCTGCTGCTTCCAGGAACACCTCAGGAGAACCGCTGCTCAACAAACCCAGAGCAAGGTAAAACAACTAAATCCCTTCCAGTTTAACAAACTAAGTGCTTGCTGACTACTAGATTCAACAAACAACAAAGGAACTACATTTGCCGTATGAAAAACGCAGAGATGCTCTCTGCAGGACTGTCCCTGCCAGTGTCAATAACTGCGCTCCTGATCCAATGCAGGAGTGGGCCCTCCCTCTGCCAGCCTGCAGCTGCCTCAATAGGAAGCCAAGAACGAGACAAATGTCAGAGGAAAGCCGTTAGCTGTGAAGTCAGCTCTGGAGGATAGAGACTGAGGTTAGGTCTGGGCTAAGCCAGAGAATTTGGGAGGAAGGAAGCTCCTGACAGCAAAGGTGCTTATGCTTTTACTGGTGAGATACTGATGCTTCCTTTCAAATTCACTTAGCAGCCTCTGCGCCTTCCAAAGTATGTGCCTCCTGAGAATTGGGATGTTTTCTTACCAACACAAGAGGCTGGCGAGCCACTCCAGACCTTGCTGTCCAGACACGTGACCGTCCGCTCCCCTTTCAGCGTGTACCCTGGCGAGCAGTAGTACTCACACCGCGAGTTAAAGTAGGCACCATCCACACACTTGAACCCTCCATTCGCTGGCATGGCGAGGGTAGGACATCGCTTTTCTGAAAAACAGAAAACCAGGTCTTCGCCATTCCAGAGTTCTTGCCCAGAGAGTTTCAGAGTCCAGGAACTCTGGGAGTATAGGGTGAAAAGTTAATTTAAATACAATGGACAACCAATGTGTACTTCTCAATGCCTTCACCTTTTTCACCCATCCCACGTGGCAATTGTCAGTAAAAACGTTCTCTGTATCTGGGAGTCTGTTTCTGTTCTGCTTGTTTATTTTGTTTTTTAGATTCAGTTGTTGATAGATATGTATTTATTGCCATTTTATTATTCATATTTTTAATCTTTTTTTCTTCTTCTTCTTAAAGAAGACCATTTAACATTTCATATAACCTTGGGGATGAGAAGTACAGCATAGGAAATATAGTCAATAATATTCTAATAACTGTGTACGGTGAGAGAGTTAGCAGGATGATCACTAAGTTATGTAATGTCTAATCACTGGGGTGTGCACCTGAAACTAATATAGTAATTTAAGTCAAATGAATTGAAAATAAAAAATGATAAAATATTTTTAAAAATATATACAATGGACAGAATTATAGAGACAATGGATGGTTGCATGTCACACAGAAGGGACACTAAGTTTTGTATCAGACTGGCTTGGGTGGCATCCCAGCTAAGCCACTGTCTTAAGCTGGGTTCCTTAGAAGCAGACCCTGACACAAGAAATTGTGTTTAAGGGATTTAGTAAGAAAGTGCTCCCAGGGGAGACCAGGGAGGGGTGGGGGAGACAGGCCAGGGGAGGGGAGGAAGACATGCAAGGTTTCAGGCAAAGTCGACCTCAGTCAGCTTCCAGAAGGGAGCTCTGGGCCATGAGTGAAGCCCAAGTTTGTTGTGCCTACAGGCAAGGAAGCTGGGCTTTCGTAATCCTTTACCAGTCACTATTGAGCAGCTACAGCTGCTCACTGGATGCTTTCTAAGTCAGAACAAAGAGGGCAATCCTCTGAAAGAGCAGTCTTTTCTCCCTCCAAAGAGAAAAGGTGCCAGACATTAAAAGCAAAGCACTCAGAAGCTGGGGAATGGGTGGGCATACAAGGTAAAAGGGCATCCAGGGAGATCTGGGTGAAGCGCCAAAAAGTGTCCACTATCGTCACCCAGTTGCAGAGTCCGTGTAGGCTGGATCACATGACTGCAACCCTAAACCTCAGTTTCCCTAACAGTAAAGTTAAAGTAATGGCACCCATACCAATAGTGTTGAAAAAACCGAATGCATGTGAAATGCTTGGCACACAATTAGGAGCTCGATAAATGGTGGCTGTTTTCAAAAACAATGGTATCTAAAATGTGCTTCAACAAGGCTGTACCACTACAGATATGACTCTTCATGAAGCTTAAAGTCAGCCCCTGAAATGCTCTTCCAGTCTTCTCCCCTGAGGCACATTTCCTTTCCTAGAATAAGCAGCATTCTTCAATAACTTGTTCCCTGTCTCCCTAAGCTCTGTCTCTTGGGAGAATCCTCCTTGTCTCCATTAGCCCAAGTCCATGACTTAGGGCCATTCTTGTGTTCCTGCCATGGTTTACATCTCTGCCTTGCTGTCTCTCACGCTATTCTGTGAGACCCTAAATGGCAGAGCCTGTGTGAGTCTTGTTTCTAAATCTGCAGCATCTTTAAAGGTTCCAGCATTTACTGAACAAACATAACCTGTTTGCTGAACAAGCCTCTACTCTCTCCCCCTTTCCCAAACAGCTGATCACACCCTTCTGTCTGCAAGGTGTCACCTCACTTCCACCTTATCTTAGAAACCCCACTGCCTTCTGCTCACAGGGGAAGTTTTCCTCATCAAAGACCACAAAATATTCAGCCAAAAACCTGTTAGAGCAAAAGACTCTGGCCCTGATTGACCCCGAGGACACAACATGGGGCTGGGCTACTCACGCTTGCAGATGACCTTGTCGGACCACCGTTTGTTTGACTGGCAGATCAGCTGGGAAGAGCCATGAAGCTCATAGCCCTTCTGGCAGCGAATATCACACCTGGTTCCCAGGGCTGTTTTGTAGTATCCTCCTTGAGGGGCCCTGCAGTACACATCCCCGTACTTCACCTTGATGGGGGAGCACCATGGGGTGTCTACAGGCAACAAAAACAAAGGAGGGGAGAAATAGAAAATGAAATCTCCAGAAAATGTGTCTCCTCATTCTAGAAGTCCCTGACTGGCTGCATTCCATATTTTAGACTTCCAAAGAGTGCCCCGTATCTCTTAAGATGTCTCTGAGTGGGGAGGTTATGATCATGGACTATGTGTCAGGCATACCTGAATATGGATCCAGCTGCCTCCATTACTAGCTGTGTGATCTTGGACAAGTTACTTAACCTCTCTGAGTTGATATCTATACCTATGTCATAGGGCTCTTATGAGGACCAAAAAAAAATAATAATGCATATCAAGCACCTAGCACAGTGCCTACCACATAGTAAACATTCAATAAACACTTGTTCTTTTCAATATTTCCCTTAACTAGATACATAATTCTCTTCAGGGCAACTGATAGTATTGTGAACCCCAACCATCCATAGAGGAGACTGACAGCTGTCAGAAGGGAGGGGGATTGGAGTTGGGTGAAAAAGGTGAAGGGATTAAGAAAAAAATATCATGGCCCTGGCTGGTGTGGTTTAGTGCTAAGAGTGTTGGCCCACACAATGACTGGTCTCGGATTTGATTCCCGGTCAAGGGCAAGTACCTGGTCTGGGTGCGAGCAGGAGGCAGCTGATGGATGTGTCTCTCTCACATCAATGTTTCTCTCTCTCTCTCTCTCTCTGCCCCCCTCCACTCTCTCTAAAAAATTAATAAATAAAAATAAAACATTTTTTAAATTAAAAAAAAAATCATGGACACATACAACAGTATGGTGATTACCAGAGGGAAAGGGGGTGGGGCAGGTAAAAGAGGGTATGGGGGCGTAAATGGTGATGGAAGGAGCCTTGACTTTGGGTAGTGAACACAATACAATATACAGATGATGTATGATAGCATTTTACACCTGAAACCTACATAATTTTATTAAACAATGTCACCCCCATAAAGTCAAAAAAGAAAAATAATTAATTTAATTTTAAAAACCATAATAGTTTAGATTTTTTTCAAGTCTGTATCCATAGCCTCTGTAAAAAAAAACTCATAATACTGTTTTAATTAATGTGAATGAAGCAACTCTTTCCAGGTTTTTCTCCACAGTATATAACTTTGGCTTAAAGTAACAGAATCGTTGCTTATCACAGGGAAGCAACTCCCCTTTTCAGATGTTCCTAGTTATTTCCCATGTAGGCAGGAGAGTGACACCCTTCCCAAATGGCACAGTTCCAGGGTGTTTCAATTTTGGTCTAGAGTTGCTGAGAGCACAGTTAGGATGACACTAATAAATCAGAGGTTCTTCCTGTGCCTTTGGAAAGTACTTGCTGACAGCCATAAAATTATTAGGGCAAGACTAGCTCCTCAGTGGGGAAGTTCCCGTAGTGGTCACTGCACAATCAGTGGGCACCGGTGAGGGGCTCCCTCAGCCTGCCAGGCTCTCACTCCACCTCGGCACCTGAGTTTCAGTGCCTGGTGTTTGTGCGCCATCATGTGGCCAAGAAGGAAGAAACATCCTGTTTGACTTTCCCAGGAATTCTCTTCTGGGGGTATGTTTCTGAGTGCTTCTCAGCCATGTCCAGGATATGGTGCATAGACTGCTTTCTTACCTTTCTGCTATCATGTCTCATGATATAATGTTTTGCAGACAGCCTCAAGTGGGTCCTAAAGTTAGGACTCAAGCAGTATTCCCTGGACTTTCTGGGTAAAAGTGATGTCCTGAGGGCTTAGCTTAGCTTAGAGCTGATGGAATTCGACCATGGGGATACAGACTTGCAAAAGCTTACACCAGGCCTGCAGACCATCCTTCAACAAAGTTTCCTTCCTCTACAGTTTATATATGTAGTCTGTATGTGCTAACATTTTTAAATGAGAAAAATCTGAACCCTGAAGTGAAATACAAAACGGCATATGTGTCTCCGTTATTTTCTTCTACATATAATTATTGAACCAATTCTAAATGCTTTAGTGTTTCCTTTGGTGGTGGCTCCAGGTAGGCCATGAAACTAGATTTCAAGATCACAGGTAAATGAGAAGCCCTTGGAGTATCCTTGCTTAGCACTGTCAAGCTGTGGGTATGTCTTCTATAATCAAAAGTCCTTAAGATAAATTCTGGAAAAAATCCATAGATGCCTACCACTCAAATAAAAATGAGATTTGGAAACTACTGGCTTCTGTGACTACTATAAGTGAGGTGTATTTCTCTCCCTGCCTCTTTCTGCCTTTCTTTTCCAACTGTAATAGGAAATATCACTTACAAGGACATCCCCAAATGCACTTGGTGTTTTTAATCTCAAAGAAGCACTTTTTATAGTTTGTCAGAGGACTTAAACGATGTTAAATCTTAAAAATCATCTGTTGCTTTGTCTCTTTCTCTTTATCATCTCCCTCTCTTCTCCCTAACTTCCCCACTGCCTCTTTTCTTAGTTTCACTATCTGCTCTGTTCCCCTTCTAGGCTGCAATTCTTCTGTGCTTCCCTATCTCTAGTCTTCTTCTCTTGCCAGTTGGCTCCCTTTACTGCCTCGTTTCCCACCATCTCACAGGCCAAACTGTGGAGCCCTTGACTGATGACTGGGCTCCAGGGAGAGAATATGAAGTCCCCATTGGGGGTAGGGGAAGGGTAATGTGGTGGGAGTGAATGTGGGAGACCCAGAGGGAGATGACGAAAACCGAATGAACTAGCGCAGGATGGTGGATATAATATTGGGCAGAGTCAAGAGGCCTGGGCACACTTCCTAATTCTATCATCTCCTAGTAATCCTGGACAATTCACTAAATTTTTCAGGGAATCAGGTTCCTCATCTACAAGAAATAGAAATGGATGAAATTATTTTCAAAGTCCCATCATGCTTTAAAGTTGTATGATTCAAAGTCTGTCTTATTTCTCTCTGATCCACTACTCATCTCACACCCTGGCCCACCTCCTTACTCCTTCTTCTGATAACTTTGGGTAGTCTCTTGTAACCCTTCCAGCTGAGGGCAAATCTTTTTTGTATTCTGGGTCCTGATCACATTCTACTGATATACAAAATGGAAGAGTGTCCAATTCTCAACTTGTTTTTCACTCAAATGTTGAAAACCTTCATACCCTCCAGCTTCTGGACTTTGGCATGAGTTTAGGAGGGACACAATTTTAGAGTAAACTAATATGAGGCAGCATACCTGCAATGGCTAGCACACACATTATGGTTGTCTTTTCCACAAATGTACCCATGAGAAATATTTAAGGTTAGCAGGTACATTAGAGAATGATCTGGGTATACATATATCACAAATTCACATATTTTGATACAACACGCAATTAGCAGATTTTGCCCCATGTTCTGAGTCTTCAAATCCTCCTAGCAATGCTGGGTGCAGATCCAAAAGCTGCGCTGTTGTCAACACGTGGGAAAGAATCTTGTTTTCACTTATTCACAACAGGAATTTCTTTTGGATTACTTTCCAAGACAAATCTTGGAAAGATATTTTGACAGTTTGGCAGAGCTGCAGTGATAGTAATTAAAATGTCAGTGAGTGACTTGAATTTGAAGTGCATAAAAGCACCATGAGTTAAAAGTGAATTAGCAAAACGTTTAACATAGAGGTTTAGAGAAAAGAAGCTCTTATGCTGCTTCAATTAAGACAGGGTTTATTTAGGGAGATATCTAGATAGATTATTCAGGAAAGCATTTTCATCTTCCTGGGCCACTGTGGTAAGCATTCCAATTAACTGAAGTTCCTGGGGTAGGCAGTGTCTTGTAGCAGACTAATGAAGAAGTACTAGCAAACTCTGGACACTGAGTTAAAACATCTGGATTTCAGACCCAAATATAATGTTTGCTAGCTGTGTGACTCTGGGCAAGTCACATACCTTCTCTAATCTGTGGTTCTTCCATCTGTAAATGAGGAATTTCAACATATCTCTACATGCCTTCTCTCTTCCATCAATTAGTGTGACAATATGATGGCATTCCAAGTAAAAGAATCAAAAGCAATGCTTGCCACATTCTGGGAATATAATACATGTGGGTTAAATTTTACTTTCTTTTACTTAAAATTAACTTAAAAACACTTATTGAGTATATACTCTGTGCCAGGCACTGTGCAGGGGCTAGAAGATCTAGAGCTAAATCCCCAGTTAACAATGGTTAGCCTCTAAGTTTTAAAACTAAAAACTGACAATACAAACCATTCCCTAAGAAGTATTTATTCTTAAACATCCAGGGTAAACTTTAGGCAGGCACATATTTTGGCCATCTGGTCTACCTTCCATACCTGCAATGCTGTGAGATGAGGATGGACATGGGAACAATGATCCAAGGGCACTAGACAACCCCTACTATCCATGTGAAGGGTCACATGTGCATGCATGTGTTTCAGGAAGATTTGTCAACAAGGGATTCAAAGGAAAATAAAGATTTTTTTTTTTAAACTCTCAATTAATTAAGAAGTGTTGGGAATGACAATGCCTCCTTACCCCAAACATCTAATTAACAAGTTTGTGCTTTGCTTGACTAGTTTATTCCTGAGGCAATTTAAGAGCTGTAGATAAGAATGACTATTTGTATTCACAGGTCAAAAGCAAATGTGGACTGTGGTGGGAAACACACCTGTACGTAGGCACCAGTCATTACATTAAAAAGATTTTTTCACTTGTGTGGAAAACAACTGAAGGACTCTCTCCAACCGATTCTCCTATACCTGAAACATTACAACAGAGCAGGGCAGTGTCCTCTTGCCAGAGTGTGGGCATATTTCCTGGGCAAAATGCCACAATGGAACTTTATTAACCAATTTTTGTCAAATTATTTCTCCACTGAACCAGTGGAACCAGATTCAGAAAGAAAAAATTTAAATTTACCTTCACTTTTCCCAGGGCTCCCTAAGCTTCAGAGAAATGACACACTGATAGAAATATTTGTGGGCATACTTACCTGAGCCTGCACAGGAAAGTTCTTGATTAGGCTTTTTACGCTTGCTGGGGGGTGGATTTCTGGAAATGTGTAGAGATGGGAGTTCTTTATCATTAGATTAAAGTTTCATGGGGAAACAGACTTTAACTCATCATTTCAAGAGCCAAGTTGGACTCAGAAAGAGCACGATGAAATGAGCTTATGAAAATCAAGTTTTATCAGTCCCCATTAATCTCAGTACATTAGCAGCACTGGGTCCAGATTTGACCTTGGATGGTTTACTCTGGATGATTCTGGCTGTAATGTATGAATTGGGCAGAACTCATAGCTTGATTTTCACTTTCATGAGCTAGAGCTTGGTTTTGCAGAAGTAATGACAGTAAGGAAACTTATCAGAATAAAATGACCACTGGGGTGCTGAAGGTCAGCACTTCAGAGATTTCCAAATGATTTTTGTTTGCTTTCTTTTGTTTTTCTTTATTTTTTTAAAATGGGAACATATGCGTATTAATTTTAAATATTTTTTTTCTGGACAGGTAATTAGAACATAATTACACTGTCTGGTCACTTTATTATAATCTGTTCTGCAGGTCAAAAAGGAAAGTTCTCCTGGCATCAGCAGGTCCTCATTAGCACATAAGCAAAGCATTCACCTTTATATCTAGGGTGTAAGTACCCAACTTCATCATCTTCTAGCGGTGAGTCTCCAGATCCTACAATAAAAAACAGAACAGAAACTGCAGCAAGAAAAGCCACATGATATGGACGACTATTTCGAAGCATTGCTTTGGCACAGTCCATGCAAGAGGGGCTATTAGAACGCAGAGCCAAGAGCGAAAGCTTCTATGGCCATTCATGAAAGGACAGGGCACCTCTCAGAGTGAACCTGGCTGGGCTGAGATGGCCAGAGCCAATCAAAATGAGCTTCAGACTGTTTGGAAATCACCACGTGCCAGCTGAAATTCTGGACTCGGGATAGATAGAAAGAAAGTCAACTTCACTCTGAGAAGATGCCAATGTACATGAATCTCATGCCAGGGGAGACACAGTAAAAGGTGTGTGACTCAAACACAGCCCACAGTTTCTCCAGCAAAGAACACCTGGTAGAACTGGGTGTTTGTGGTACCTGAAAATCAGTCCATCTTGTAAAGTGAATTTGGGTGGAGGAAAAGGAGGCAAATCAAATGTCTTAGTGACCAAAGAAATACAAAACTACTTTGGTATATTTGTAGGAAATGAGGACCAAAATCGACAATCGGGTGTTTATTTAGAATCTCTCACCAAGGCATTGCTAAAGTAAAATTTCTTAATGAGTCTTGCTACCCTAAAAACCACAGACTCAGGGAGAAAGTTTGTATTTAATTTTTAAATTTAAACTCATTTGGAAGTTGGAACTGAATAATTTTTATTTTTATTTTATTTTTTAAATATATCTTTATTGATTTCAGAGAAAGGAAGGGAGGGGAGAGAGAGAGAGAAACATCAATGATGAGAGAGTCATTGATCGGCCTCCTCCTGCATGCACCCGACTGAGATCGAGCCCACAACCCGGGCATGTGCCCTGACCGGGAATCAAACCGTGATCTCCTGGATCCTAGGTCGATGTTCAACTGCTGAGCCATGCCCAGTCAGGCTGAATAATTTTTAAAATAATTAAATATTGAATTCCAGTAAGTGGCAGATCCTTAATCTTTGAAGTGGTACCAGGCCCCAAACTTCAAAACAGTAATAATCTTAAATCTATAGATCTTTCCCTCTAGATTTCCAAGTCTGATGCTGACTGTTGAGTTGGCACCATCGTGGTCACACATTTACCTACAGTCACCTACAACTATAACAGACAAAGATACTCACTATTATGAGGTTATTCAAATCCCGATACAGGATTAGTGAATGAGTAACGGTCCCTGCTCCACTCGCATTCTGGATGAGACATAGTGAGTATGGGAATTTAAAGTGCGGAGGTGATGAAGGCTGGGCCATGTCCATTAGTAAAAGAACCCCCAATTAGAGAAGCCCGGTTATGTGTTCCACTTTTCCCCAGGCTTCTTCACCTGGTTTCTGGCCACTCAGATAAGGACAAAATTACACAAACTTTGTTAAAAACTGAACATGAAAACCTGGCTCACCCTTTAGAAAAACAGTCTAGCAACATTAATCAAAAGCCTATGTTCAAACCCCCTGATCCAGTCATTCCACTTCTAGGAATCTATCCCAAGGAAATAATATTAAACATAAGAAAAAAATTACACACAAATATTTCTTTGCAATGTCATTTATAATAGCTATAAAATGATAAAATAGCCAATGTTATGGTTAAATAAATGTAGTGCATTCACTGAATATAATAAAATGTAACTTATAAATAAATGTTTATAGAAAGAGATAATAGTGTGAGAAAAGCTTTCTTATAACATTAAGTGAAAAATGTAATGTAACAAAATTATATAAATGGTGTGATTTATAACAATGTAAAACAATCAAATTCAAAATAAACAATGCATAGAAAAGAGTATAATTGGATGTTTTTCTTCTTCCTTCTCTTCTAAATTTTCTGCTATAAACACATTACTACTTTCATAATAGAAAATAAACTTTATTATGTATATAACTCAAAGAAGCTTAGTTTCCAAAATACATTTTAAATATATTAGAAATGTTAAAGACTCTACTGTCCCTATCCTTCCACCCTGTCCCCATTTGTCTCCATATTCAGAGTTGAACTGGAATTCCTCTAAGACTCCTTCTATTCTCCAACTCCGTATGGCACATTTCTAAGTGCCAGGACATCTGTCTCATATTAAGAGCACTTCTCTCTCCCCTCAGGTCATCTTGGCCTCCATATAATCTACCTGGGCAATAAGCAGCTCTGGACTTATTCCTGGCTCCAAAGAAGACAACAGTCTCAGGTTGGATTCTCTGGAAACTAGCTTCTGAGATCGAGTTTAGTGCACAAGATGTTTATTAGGGATCAACACCTGTGAAAGGGATAAGATAGAAGCAGGTCTGGTCAGAAGGAAAAGTTGAGCTCTGATGTCAGCCCAATGACAGCCTCTTGTGTTGGGCTGAAATGGCTGGACCTTTCTATCCCTCCATCAATCAGCCATTCGATATGGCCCACCTTGGGAAGGGAGTGAACTTGGGAGAAGCACTCCCAACAGCTGAAGCAATCCCTGAAGGGGCTGAAAGCTGACTGCCTGCAGTTGAGTCAGTCAGTTTTTCCTTAAAGGAAGATCTGGTCAGTACATCTCCATGACTATCACAACACTTTATGAGAAATAATTTGAGATGACTACACTCATGAGAGAGGTCCCTGCATACAGAATGAAAGAAACTCAGACCTCCTGGAGAGACAGAGGCACCTGGGGTACACAGCCTGGCTTTACTGGTACATGAATATTCTGAGACACATTTGTCACATATTCTTTATTATAGTGAAAATTAAATAGGGCAATGGGCAAACAAATTATCTTATATCGGCAAGTTATTTTATAGCCACTAAATCAAGTTTAGAATGGGATATATATATGAAACACAGCTAATCAAAAAAGCAGATACTGTAACAATATACATAATGAAGTATTAAACTGAATATATATATATTAAAATGATTATATATATATTCAGTTTAATACTTATACATATGTCATACTTATATATACATACTTGGAATATGGTAAGATGGGACTACGAATACCTGCTTTGATATTATTTCAATCTTCTTGAACTTGTAGAGACTTGTTTTGTGTCCTAACATGTGGTCTTTGAGAATATCCGTGTGCACTTGAGAAGAATGTATAGTCTGCAGCTTTGGGGTAGAACGTTCTGTAAATGTCAGTTAAATCCATCTGATTTAGCGTGTCATTTAGGGTCACTGTTTCTTGTTGATTTTTTATCTGGAAGACCTATCCAATGAAGTCAGTGGGGTGTTAAAGTCCCCTAGTATGACTATATTGCTGTCAATGTCTCCCTTAAAGACCTCTAGAAGTTCTTTTTTTAAATGTAGGTGCTCCTATGTTGGGTGCATATATGTTTATCAGGGTTATATCCTCTTGTTGGATTGATCCCTTTAGTATTATGTATTATTTAGTATTATACTTATCTCTCATTATGGTCTTCATTTTGAAGTCTATTTTGTCCGATGTGAGTATTGCTACCCCAGCTTTTTTTTCATTTCCATTTGCATAGAAAAATTTTTTCTATCCCTTCACTCTCATCCTGTGTGAGTCTTTTCTGAGGTGGGTCTCTTGTAGACAGCATATATTTGGGTCGTGTTTTCTTATCCATTCGACCACTCTATCTTTTTATTGGGGCGTTTAATCCATTTACAATTAAGGTTATTATTGAAAGATACTTATCTACTGCCATTTTGTTTTTTATGCCTATGTTTCTCATTCTCATTATTTCTACTTCTAATTATAGCAGTCCCTTTAACATTTCTTGTAATGCTGGTTTTGTGGTGATAAACTCCTTTTGCCTTTTTTGTGTTTTGTCTGGGAAGCTCTTTATTTCACCATGTATCTTGATTGATAATCTTGCTGGATAGAGTAGTCTTGGTTTCAGATCCCTGTTTTGCATTACCGTGAATACTTCATGCCATTCCCTTCTGGCCTGTAGAGTTTCTGATGAGAGGTCAGCTGAGAGCCTTATGGGGGCTCCTTTGTAGGTAACAGATTGCTTTTTTCTAGGTTCCTTTAATATCCTCTCTTTGTTTTGAATTCTTGGCATTTTAATTATTATGTGTCTGGGCATGGGCCTCTTTGGAGTCTTCTTGCTTGGGACTCTCTGTGCCTTCTGAACTTGTGTGACATTTTCCTTGACCAGGTTAGGGAAGTTTTATTCCATTATTTCGTCAAACAGGTTCTCTAACCCTTGCTTACTTTCAGCCTCCTCTGGCACTCCTATAATACAAATATTGTTACGTTTTATGCTGTCCCACAGCTCCCTTAGACTGTCCTCCTGCTTTTTAACTGTTTTTTGTTTTGGGGTCTCTGATTGAGTGATTTTTTCTACCCTGTCTTCTAATTCACTGATCTGATCCTCAGCTTCTTCTAATCTGCTGTTTATTCCTTCTAATGTATTCTTTACTTCTGCTATGTCATTCTTCATTTCTGACTGGTCATTTTTCATAGTTTCCAAATATTTTTTCATGCCGTTGAGCATCCTTACAATCAGTATTCTGAACTCTATATCTGAGAGATTGCTTATCTCCATTTCATTTAGCTCTTTTTCTGAAGACTTCTTTTGTTCTTTCATTTGGGGTTTGTTTTTTGGTCTCCCAATTTTGGCTACTTTTTTGGGTTTCTTTCTAAATATTAGGTAGATTTGCTAGGACTCTCAGTCTTTTTAGAGGGTCTCTGGTACAGGCCAATGTCAGATGCCGTTTGTGACTGGCCTTGAGTACCCTGTTTGGAGCTACCAACAACCCTAGGCTTGAGGTCTCCTCTGATGGGGCTGGGTGTGTTTGGAGAGGACCAGGATGCACACCAAAGTCTGCTTTTCTAAGGCCTGGGTCCCAAAGCAGATCAGGCAAAGACTCAAAGCACTCTGAGGTCTGACTTTGCCTGCAGACTGATTAATCTGTTTCTCTTAACAAGCCTCCGGCTGTAGAAACTACTCTGGGCAGGGTGAGAGGTTTTCCAGCAGGGTGGGGCAATTGCTTCCCCTCTCAGGCAAAAGCCATAAATTGGCCGCCTGAGAAAGATGTCTTCCA